TCGGTTTTGAATATACTCATTTTTCACTCTAATTTTTGTATTGAGTTACTCTTGATAATGAGTTCTAGTGAGCTCGAAACGTCGATTCATTTTAATAAACAAAATATAGCCGTTGTAAAACAGTTACAATTTGTATTCGGAACAAATGTTAGTTTTAACGCGTTATTTGTAGGCCATATCCGATCACGACACCTGCTGACGCATTGCATATAGTCAATGGAACCATGACATTCAAGGACTGACGATCCTTCCAGCCTGACTTTATCCAGTGTCCATCGATATTACTGGTAAAACTAAATGACCATTTTACTTGACTTAATTTACTCCATTTTTTAGCAATAGAATAACCCAAGTGAAGAGTAGCTGATGTGTAAGCGCTGTATCGGAAAGCCCAAAATGCATAACCAAAATTAGCCATATCATGTTTGTCACTATTGCCTTGATCCTTTCTAAACCAACGTGGAGTACTCATTTTAGTAAAATCCAATTCCGGATGTTGCAATAAAGGTAGCTAAACACCAGCTGCGATGCCTCTAAATGTACCTAATCCACTACTTACACCCATTCCAGCACCACTAGTAAACAAAATGGCATCGCAATGCAGTATCAGTTCAGCTGCTTTTTTTATAATCTGTATTGTCTCAACAGTAATTTTGTTTTGATTAATTGCTGTTACATCTTGCGAAACATTTGCAAATGCCATGTCGGGGCTCTACTACCCAGAATTTGATGAAAATTCTGCGTGTGTGTAGTCAACTAAATAAAGACAAACATAAATAAAATAGGAAAGCTCGAATCACTATACACCAAGTGATGGACCATACGTGCTATTATAAGTCTGCACTATGTAATTATTGCTTTTTCAAGATCTGCTTACTGTGGATGACTTCAGTTAGACAGTTTAGAAAGCCAAAAAATAAAAAACCGAGTTTCAAGATCTCAAGGAAATGTTCTTGACTTCAAAACTAGGCCAAGAGTAAAAAATCGATCTATCTCCCTGTACGACGATGTTCGAGCTTTAGTCCGAGATCAATTCAAGCTTTGTAGCTCCTAACCTGACTCAGATTTTCTTCAAATAGGAAACGGCGAAGGTTACTCTTTGGCTAAAATAGCGCATATTCTAGGCTTTGTAAATAGAATTCTTATAGCTTTGCACTAAAATAGTTCCTAGAGCTGTGAGATGTCTCATTTTGATAAGAAATAGTCTACTATATGATAACAGTAGAATTACTTTTTTTCTCAGTTCTGTATGACCAAAACATAATGTGTATGAACACCAGGTTTTTAGAGTATTTACAAGCTTTCTCAAAATCCTGCAGGAACCTTTGATGAAGGCCTGAAGGTCATGGACTCGGATAGTAGATATCGTGGCTGAGATGCGCCATGCATGAACCAACAACGTGAAACGCACTCTCTTTTGCGTTAGAGTCCAAGCTGACATTTCACGGTCCCTCATGAAACGTCGATAAAATTTCCCCATGAAACAGGTTAATAACCTATTCCATGGGGAAATTTTAACTGATCGTAGTTGATTATCAACTACGATCAGTTAAAAAACGAAAAGTAAGAGAACATAAGAACAAGGAGATAAGACGAAAAGAAAAAGAAATTCCAAACGGCAGTTTGGTTGGAAGAACAAGAAATAGACATATGAATAGATATAATCTAAGACAGATAAAATCACTCGATTGCAACATAAATCTACCCATATTCTACAGTTTGAGTTCTCTCGATTAAAGCGCAAAGGTCAATAAACAGTTTTCTTGCACGCGGTAAATAGGATGAATGGCTGATTGGAAATATTCCTCCATGTTAAACGGAAACAAATATTGCTCTAGACTCAAAATGATCAAAAACCCAATGTTTCCTGTAGTGATGTAGTGAGGTATGCTACTGCTTTTATTGGCGCTTTTGTGCACTGCTTAATGTCTGCTTTAAGCAGCGATACAACTCGTCTTTTTGATAGCTTGTCTCCAACTGAATGTTCCACAAAAAATTGTTGTTAACAATCAATGGTTCTTTACAGACACTGAGTCAAACATAAAACAATGTGAATATATGTTTTTTATCTTTTCTTCCTTGTCAACAAATTAGTTGCTTGAGCTGCGAAAATAGACATTTCTTTTGTATTTTCTTTTATGATTCACATTATATACATTGTGTACTCACGTTAAAGGTTCTATCTTACGAGGGACCGCCCCAGGAGCCCAGCTCTGATTTCCTTCATTCATGCCTCGTTTTATAGAGCACATCGAGCTGGTAAAAAGCCTAAAAGGATTTTTGCGCATGGCTCTTGAAGTCTCAGTTTTCTGCAAAACCCGTTTTTGAGAAATTTTAAAAAAGAATCTTTCATAGTGAGAAATAATTATAGCCTGCACATTTCTGATTAGAATGAGACGTCTCCCAGCTCTACATGACCTTTCTTTTCAAAGTTACAGAATTTACAAGAAAAGCCCTGAATGTTCATTGTCAGCTCAAAGCTGTAGAAATAAGAAGAAATTAATTTAGGGCTTTTCTTGAAAATTCTGTAACTTTGTAAAGAAAGATCATGTAGAGCTGGGAGACGTCTCATTTTAATCAGAAATGTGCGGGCTATAATTATTCCTCATTATGAAAGGTTTTGCAGAAAACTGAGACTTTAAGAGCCATGCGCAAAAATCCTTTTAGGCTTTTTACCAGCTCGATGTGCTCTATAAAACGAGGTATGAATGAAGGAAATCGGAGTTGGGCACCTGGGGCGGTTCCCTCGTGAGTCTTATCTATCGATCGATGTAAAAATTATCTTAAAATTCATTAGTGTTAATTCGTACTAATCAATTTCGAGCGAGCAGGTATCCACTGATCATAATTGCCCCATTCGGGGTAATTATGATCAGCACAGCTAAAATGGATGAAATGAACTTAAACAACTTTGTTTCAACAGAGAATTTTAAGCAAACTAATTAAAAGTCGAAGTCAAATCGCCGAACAAAGTGTATATTCAGAATCAGCATGCAAAACTGCGTCGAGTGACATGTCTTTAATCTTCATTTGATGACTCTCATTTTTTTTCATTTTTGTCACTAAACTATCATACCGCTCTGTGGATCATGGCATCTATGTAGTGGAAAAATAAAAGTCATCAAATGAAAATTAAAGACATGTCACTCGACGCAGTTTTGCATGCTGATGTCGAATATACACTTTGTTCGGCGATTTGACTTCGACGAAGGGTCGAAAACCACTGAAAATGCTGTTCTCGGAAAAATGCTTATAACTCCTGAACGAAACACACTAGCGGGCTCGGTTTTACGCAGATCGAAAGAGAACAGTTTTCTCTATCGAATGATTATCTCAAACCCTACATCCAATGGTAAATGCCTTCAAAATATTGTTTTTAAAATGTTCATCAAGAATTCTCCTGATTTGACATTTCCATATAAAAAATATGACTCTCTTTCGAATGCTGAAAACCGCAAGTCTTCAGCTGCTTTCGTTCTGCAGTTATTCAACTTACAATCGACTGCACTGTTCATTGAAGTGGATAGTAATTAATGAGAAATTACGAAAATTAAACGAGATAGTCATTTTTTCTCTATATATGCTTCGGGTAATTATGATCAATCCGTGCAAATTACACGGAATAAACAGAATTTGACGTGCACCGGTCTCTAGAAGCCGGCTTTTGGTCTAGTTCAAGTGAAGAGTGTCTTAATTACGTATGTAAAAAGCGGAATAAATACGCGTGTTTTTAGCGAGTACTGTGCATAGAATGAACATCGTTGATTATAAATGCATTTCTGTTCATTAAGATTAGCAGAAACAAAGTCAGAACCTTAATTAGCAGTCGGATAACGAACAAGTTGAACTTTTCATGCACATTATTAAATTTTCGTTCTAATAGACCAAAATTTTTTTTAAAAACACATAATGTCAAACGTCCCACTTAGAATGCAACACATAGCATGCATACCCAACGACACAAAAAATGACGTGCAAAACATAACTTTTTCTGAAAAGCTTAAAAATAACGCAAATAATTTCTCCGAAAAATCTCTCTTGTTTTACTAAGGATTCGAATAAAATACTATTTAATTTATATATACACATTGAAATGATAAAAATAATGATTGCATATACGTATACAGAGGATACCGGTGCTTATTTTCAAAAATTCTGAAATCAATAGAAGTTTTACAGCAGCTTTTACTCTCATTATTTTATTCGACATGTTTCGAAGCTTGAAGCTTCATTTTCAAGAAGTTCTAAATATAAAACTTTTCTTTTAATAAATTTTATTTCTTTTCTAAATCAAAAATTTTATATTTAGAACTTCTTGAAAATGAAGCTTCAAGCTTCGAAACATGTCGAATAAAATAATGAGAGTAAAAGCTGTTGTAAAGCTTCTTCTATTGACCTATATTAGCCTGGGGTAATAATTATGATCAGAATAAAATATTTGCTGAGTATTCTTGAAGTTCAGCAACCGTCCTCTGTGACTAGCACTGCAGTTTTTGATTAGAAATACGATAAAAGTAAGAAAATAAGTTTATATATTTCTCAAAAAGAAATCAATTTGTCAAAATTCTATTATTTAAAATTAATGGGTCGGTGACAAATAAAATATTCCATTAACGGATCTACTAATATATATGTCAATTTCTGTAACTATCAATTTTAAAAGTTAAATTATTTATCAGCTTCCTTAAATTATTATTTTTTTGCAGAAACAGAAAACTCTGGTATATGTACCGAATAGATCATATTTACGTTTCTGTCAACAAATAATTTGGAATTTCAGTTCTATTCATACAGTTAGTGGCGAAAGTGTTCGTACGATGGAGACAAAAAACTTGTAACGTCATTATCTCCGGCTGCTATAAAGTATATCACTTGCGATAATCATTACCATTCCAAAAGAGTTTCTGGAAAATCTGAATACCTACTGCTTCCCACTAAACAGAATGACTTGTCCCGTCCGATCCACAGATATCTGCCCGGTACCCGTCACAATTTTGCCGACCGATTGTAGGCCCGGCTGTTTTCCATGTTTATTTATTTCAAACACTACACATTTCCATCAGTATCATCATCAAAGATAATCTTTCATCTTTATCTAACGTCTAACTGTTTACACAGCAGTTGGCTTTCATCATATCATAGCTCAGAAATTACTAATGGATCACTTCTAACTGATACTGATCTAGAAAATACACAGGATTTCAATGACAGGTTACAAACTTTGATCTAAATCATAAATCTCCGTCGAATATAGCAGATGAAATAGTAAGGGAATGTGCTAAATTTGGTATTTGCTTTAAGGAAGCTGAAAATGACAACGATGAGCAATTTATGAACTTCTGAGAGAAACTGTCAACAAATAATTTTATTTTATCTTGCTGTGTATTTTATGCTTCTAAGACTATTTCGAAGTTATTCAGAATGAGAAACATAAAATTGGCTATCGGAAAATGAAGTGACATAAGATATTTTAAAGTATATACAACCTGTCGATATTCGAATTATCTGTCGAGAGGAGCACTATTTGACAAAAAAAACGAAATTCGTTCTTTCTTTCTCTGTACATGCAGTGTCGAAGTGATTCTGATAACTGAGGACATTGTTAGAAAGAGAAAAATATCATATAGAGTACAAACAATGTTCATTTTTCTCAGTCAATATTATCACATATAAAGGCAAATGAAAATCCGTCGACTAAGTTCACTGTTATCTAGAAATAAAATGAATAAAAGATACATATATTATATTCTAGAAGTGTCTAGAGATGCATTGTCTAAGTATAGTCCATTGTTTTATCCAAAGCCTATATAAACGAGTAGAATTCAATAACAATAAACCTATTCTACATCTTACTTTTTTATCGTCGAATAGTAGTCAACTGCACTTCTAATCAAAGTTTCTACGACGCAAAATTATTTTCAATCTGCATCGTAATCATTTTTCAACTGTAAATCAAAACAAATGGTACCAAAAACAAATTTAGTAATTTTCGTAGCTATAGTAGCTGTTATGTTACTTGGTTGCAATGGTACTATAACACGAACAACACAAACAACAACTCTCTTTAGAGATGGTATTACCACGGAAGAATATTCCAATGGACAATTTACCTCATCGTCAGAAGCGTCAAAAATACGAATTCGTCGTCGAAGTGAATGTCCGTGGTGGGTACC